CTTGTGCACACAGCTGATCACAGACCTCCAGTTCAAAAAGCAACCTTCCCACCACCACCCTCTGTTGCCTACTAGCAAGCCAATTTTGTCTCCAGTTGGCTAGCTCCCCTGGATCCCATGTGATCTAACCTTACTAACCAGTTATCATGTGCATCCTTGTCAAAAGCTTTAAAGTCCATATGGACAACGTCTACCACTCCACCTTCATCAATCTTCTTCTTTGCGTTCTTTTTAAAGAGGTGACAATCAAGTTAGTAAGACAAGATTTCCCACACAGCCAATGTTGACTGTTCCTAATTAGGAATGCCTTTCCAAATACATGTAAATCCTGTCCCTCAGAATCCCCTGCAACAATTTACCCATCGCTGCCATAAGACTTGCTGATCTATAGTTCCCTGGCTTTTCCTTACAGCCTTTCTGAAATAATAGTATCACTTTACCCACCCACGAGTCTTCTGGCATCTCACCCATGGCTGTTGATACAAATATCTTAGCAAGAGGCCCAGCAATCTTTTCCCTAGCTTCCCACAAAGTTCTGGGAAGCACCTGATCCTGTCCTGGGAATTTATCTACCAATGTGTTTTAAGACTTCTTCTTCTGTAATATGAATTCTTTTCAACACATTGCTGTTTATTTCCCCAAATTCCTTAGCTTCCATGTCCTTCCACCCAGTAAATACTGATGTGAAACAATAATTTAGTATCTCACCTATCTCCTGTGGTTTCGCACATAGACACCCGTGTTGATCTTTAAGGCCCTATTCTGTCCCTAATTACTCTTTTTTGACCTAAATATATTTATAGAATCTCTTAGAAAATAGCTTTGGACTATCTATCTCATGACCCCCTTTTTTTTTTTTTGTCCTCCTGATTTCCCTCCTAATTATACTCCGACTGCCCTTGTACTCCTGTAGGAATTCACTTGATTCCAGTTGTCTATACTTGACATATGCTTCCTCCTTTTTCTTGGCCGGAGCCTTAATTTCTCTAGTTCTCTCGTCATCCAGTATTCTCAACACCACCTACTGGCCTTTGTCCTTCACACCTCGCATTAATTGGAATTTAAAGACCTCCCACTTCCCAACCATCCCTTTACCTGTGAATCACCTCCCATAACCAACTTTTGAAAGTTTCTGTCGAATACTGTCAAAATTGGCCTCATTCCAATTTAAATTTTTTTGATAATTTCAATCCTTTTCCATAACTATTTTAAAGCTTATAGAATTATGGTCTCTTGTCCCAAAGTGCTTCTGCAATGACACTTCAGTCACTTACCCTGCCTTATTTCCCAACAGAAGTTCAAGTAATGCCCCTTCTCTAGTGGATAGATCCACATTGGATAAGAGTTTTCTTGTGCACACTTCACAGATTCCGCCCTATCCACAAGCCCTTAACATTATGACAGTCCCAGTCTATGTTTGGAAAGTTAAAATTCCCCACCATTACAACCCTATTATTCTTACAGATATTTGGGAGCTCCTTACATATTTGCTTCTCAATTTCCTGCTAACAATTGGGGAGCTTATAACACAACCTCAGCGAGGTGATTTGGAGACAGTAAGGTCTGCAGATGCTGGAAGCTACAGTCAATAAATGTGGAGCTGGAAAAGCACAACAGATCAGAGGAGCAGGGAAATTGATGTTTTGGGCCAAAACATTTTGTCAGGACTGGGGAGGGAGAGGGGAGCCCAGATATAAATAGAGGGTGGAAGTGGGGAAGGCAGGAGGGTAGGTGGTACGGAGATAGGTGGATGCAGGTAGTGAGTTATGGTTGGTCAATGGGAAGAATGGAGCGGACAGTTGAGTAGGAAGATGGACAGGTTGGGAATGTTCAGGCTATGGGGCCGCAAGCTCCCAAGACAAAATATCAGGTGATGTTCCTCCAGTTTGTGTTTGGCCTCCAGTCTGACTGTGGAGGAGGCCAAGGATGAACATGTCACCAGGGGAGTGGGAGAGGGAGTTGGTGGATGGCAACTGGAAGGTTGAGTCGGTTTGTGCATCTCTGCTGGATTTGGAGGGATTGTATGGGAACTTGGACAGAGCTGAGAGGGGGAGGTGTAGGGTCAGGTGTAGCACCTCCTGCGGTTGCAGGGAAAGGTACTAGGTGTGGTGGAGGGCTTGGTTGGTTGATCTCCATCCCACCAATCTCCACCCAGTCCCACCCCGCTCCCTGTATTTGTCTAGTCTCCCCTCCCCCTCCCCAGCCTTTGACGAAGGGTTTTGGCCCAAAATGTTGACTTCCCTGCTCCTTGGATGCTGTCTGACCTGTTGTGCTTTTCCAGCTCCATCTTATTGACCCCAACAAGATGATCATCTCTTTTATTATTTCTCAGTTCTATCTATATAACTTAACTGAACAATCTCCCAACAATATTCTCCTTAAATACAAACGTAATTTTATCCCTATCCAAAAACGCCACTCGCCCTCCTTTCTTTCTTCTCTTTCTATAGCATCTATACCCAAGAACATTTAAGCTGCCAGTCCTATCCATCCCTGAGCCATGTTTCTGTAATTGCTATGATATCCCAGTCTCCTGTTTCCAACCATGCCCTGAGTTCATCTGCCTTACCTGTCAGGCAACGTTACATTGAAGTAAATGCAGTTTAATTTATCGGTCTTACCTTTGTTCTCTGCCAAGCTCTTGCCTACCTTGACAATTTGATTTGCTGCCCTTCCTACAGTACAGCCCCAGGCTTGACTAGTTTAAAGCCTCTTGAGTAGCACTAGCAAATCTCCCCTCCAGGATATTGGTCCCCTTCCAATTCATGTGGAACCCATCCCTCTGTAACAGGCAATTTCTATCACAGAATTATAGAATCCCTATAGCGTAGAAGTAGGCCATTCAGCCTATCACGTTCACACCAAACCTTCAAAGAGCATCCCATACTATCCTCATAACTTGTCATTTCCTGTGACTAATCCACCTGGCCTGCACATTTTTGGACTGAGAGGAAACGGCAGCTCCTGGAGCGCCCCACAGATACAGGGAGAATGAACAAACTCCACACACAGTCGTCCAAGGGTGAAATCGAACCTATGTCCCTGGTGCTGTGAGGCAGCAGTGCTAACCACCTGAGCCACTACCCCATCATGCCATACCCCTGAAGAGATCCAATTCGTTCAAAGGTGTGAATCCTTGCCCACTGCACAAGCTCCTCAACCACACATTTATCTGCTCTATCCTCCTATTCTTACTCTCACTAGCATATGGCACCTAATGTAGTCTGGATATTACTACCCTCCTGCCTAGTTTCTTGCATTCTCTCTGCAGAACCAACTCTTTCCCTACCGATGTCATTGGTACCAATTTGCGCAATGACCTCCTGCTGGTCAGTCACTGCTTTCAAAACATTCTGCACTCCTTCCGAGACATCCTTGACCCAAGCAGCAGGGAGGCAACAGACCATCCTGATGTCTCGCTGATGGCCACAGAAATGTCTGTCTGTGCGCAGAGTAGAGTCACCTATTACAATCGACCACTTGTAACCTGATATGTCCCACATTATTGTAGAGCCAATCACTGAACCAGAAACCTGACTGACCAGTGCTATACAGCACTGAGGCCATCACTCCCACCCCTGCCCCTGTATCAAAATCACCTTACCTGTTAGGCTTCTTGCATTGAAATAAATGCAGTTTAATTTTATCAGCCCTACCTTGTTCTCTGCTTTTGTTCTTGCATGCCTTGACTGTTTATTTGACTTGCTCCTTTTCCCAACTGTACCAGTCTCCAGACTGATCTCTTTCCTCACTGTCCCTGGGTCTTTTCCCCACCACCCCTGTCCCTTACTAGTTTAAATTCTCAGCAGGTCAAGCAAATCTCCGCACCAGTATCTTTTAGGTTCCTTCCAATTCAGGTGCCATCTGTCTTTCTTATACAGGTCACTTCTTCTACTCCAGAAGAGATTCCAATGATCCAAAAATGTGAATCTGTCTCCCCTGCACCAGCTGTTCAGTCATGCATTCATCTGCTCATCCTCCTATTCCTGCCCTCACTAGCTTGTGGCACGGGGAGTAATCCAGATATTGCTACCCTTGAGGACCTCTATTTGAAATTCCTGCCGAGCTTCCTATATCCTCTCCTCAATCTCAACCTTTTCCGATGTTGTTAGTTCCAATATGTACGACGACTTCCTGCTGGTCCCGCTCCCCTTTTAGAATATTCTGCAACCCTTCTGAGATAGCCTTGATCCAGGCTCCAGGGAGGCAACACACCATTTTGTTTTCTCACTGTCGGGTGCAGAAGCACATGTCTGTGCCTCTGACTATCATAATCGATCGCTTGGAATCTGACATACCCATTGTTACAGTCGAGCTAGCCTCGGTACCAGAAACCTGGCTGTCCGTGCTACATTCCCCTGAGTGTCCATCACCCCCTATATTTTCTAAAGCAGCATACTTGTTTGAGATGGGGATAGCCACAGGAGACTCCTGCGTGACCTGCCTCCCCCCCCTCCCTTTTCTGGCGGTAACCCATCTACCTGACTGTATCTGCAGTTTTTCTACCTTCCTGCAACTGCCATCTGTCTCATCCCCTAGCTCCTGTAATTCCTCATTGCTTCTAACTGGATTTCCAACCTGATCCACGCAATCTGATTGGATTCACTACCAAACACACTTCCTGCAGCCATAAATCATCAGTAATATGGAAACTCTCCCTAATCTCCCACATTTGACGGGCGTCCTCCTCGATTGAGACTAACCTGGCCAATTTGAAACTAAATCAGTGATTCATTAATAACCATATTCATTACCAACATTATGTGAAATAGACACCAGTAAAGATACACACACAACAGTAACTGGGCTCTTGTGGTACAATGGTGGTGTCCTTACCTTGGCCAGAATGCCTGGATTGAAGTTTCATGTGTGCCATAAATGTCTGTGTGTCTGGATGGATTAATTCAATATATTTAAGTAAGTATAAACAAAGTAAAACACATTAAGCAACTGGCCTCTTTAAAAATGCTCACTGATAGGTTTGTTTTTTTTTCATAAAGATAAAAATACCTTCATGGGCAACAAGAGATTTTGCTATGGATGCTGGAAAGGGGCAGAGGATGATAAACAGAGCACAAGGTAAATGTGACCAACGATATAATTATTTAATGGGCTAGGTGAGATATGGCCAGGCTGGGCATATAAATGCAGGCGTTAGTTGAACCATTTTCAATATGCAGCAGAAATTCAATAATGACTGTTTGCACCACTGCAGATCACATTACAAAGTGGTTTCTATCATACACTTCTTTTGATGATGGGTAAGTATTATTTCTAATTGTTATAAACGTTACCAAGAATGCCAATAGATCCTGTCAAAATGCCAAGGTGTAGCCCTGGTCTGCTCAACTAGAGCTGTGTTACAGGCAAATTCTGGACAGCATTCTGACCCAAAGGGTTAATTTTGAGAGGCCTTTTCACTTTAGCCTTTGTTGGGATTGGTACAGGGTCAATTCTATACGTGCTCTTTTTCCACATAGGTACTTGAATATTATTTGCAGTCGGGGTTACCCAGTAATCTGCCAGTGGTACCTCTAAAAGAGAGTGCATGGTAACAAAGGTACATAAACAGTCAGTATGTGGACATTAACTGCTCTAAAACAGTAGATAAAATGCCATCACTTTCATTGTATCTTCCAGCCTGTACATATTCTATAGTGTGATGCAGAAAAAGAAAATGATTCTTACATGACCTGGAAAGCCCTTGTGATATACAGTTGAAACAAATGGTCCCTTCACTAATACAGTTTATGTAAAACAGATGGCTGACTATCTTTCCAGGTGTTCACCAATCAGATGGTTCACCTCAGTGATAGCTTCCCTGCTGATTGTGAATAGCCTCTGCCAAGATGCTACTCTACTATGGAGCACTCTTCAGCTTGTATAGTACATGCTGTGTGTGTTTCTGTATTGTTAACTCAGCCTGGTCCCTCTTTCCAATGCATTATGATTTATCTATTAAGGGCAATAATTCCCCAGTGGTTTGCCATAAAACAAATATTATTCAGCTTGCCCACTGCTCAGATGATGGCTTGATATCTTCTTAATAAGCTAATTAATTCCAGATCTGAAGATGCAAGACACTAGCATTCTGATTCAACTTGGGAAACTTTGATTTTACACAGCTTTAATTTGCTGTTTTCCTACCATTTTTGGCTAATATTCATAAATCATGTTTCCGAAGAATGGGAATAATTTGAAGCAAGAAATATGAACAACTTTTTTTTTGTATTTTCTGTGAATGTTGTGATGGAATTCATACATTTGTCTAGTTTAAAAGACAAGAAATAATACTTCCATATTCTTAACTGAGTTAAATACCTTGGCCCATAACCCACTTTCCAAGCATGACCCAAAAAAGTTCTATCCACTTGCCCTCCTTGGACTTCCCTGGCCAATCTTCTCATGCAGGATCCTGCAGAATTTGGTCAACGCAAGAAACCTTAGACACACCAGCAAAGGGAATCTACACCAGAAGTCTCACCCTTTTTAATGGCAAAAGCTTCTATATTCTGTGAAGTGTTCCCGAAAACATTGAAAAGCCTTGGGACATCTGAACAGCTTTACAATGTGTGTGAATGCTTAGGTGTATAAGGGTGGATGAGGTAACTGGGTAAGCTGCATAGGCTGGTGAGGCCTGTTCAGATTAGGGAGTTTGAAGGTTCGAGGTATTTGGAAAGTGAGCTTCATAGATCAGTGGTTGAGATCCTGTCAAGGGGATTGTAGTTAGAAGATCAAGTGTCAAGTGGTGAAGTTTTGTCAGTTTGGGAGGTAGTAAGGGCATTTAGGGGTGGTGTTGCAGGGTCAGTTACATAGTTACCCAGGAGCTTGAGGATTTTTCTATGCAACATTTCCTGGGTAACAGTTCTTGTAAGTCAGAACTCTCAAGTCTTCAACTCTAAAGTTTGAAGGATCCCAGGGTGCAGGAGAATTGGCCATTGAAGTCAGTACACTAGGACATCATGGGGTTCCCATACTCACTTTGGGTCATATGCCTAGTCTCTGACTGTCCAGAAGACCTGGGCTGTTAGTTCATGCATTTTGTCTCCCCAGAACTGATGTTGAATACTAGGCATAGATGTGGAACTTGTTAAATACTGAAAAGTGTCAATAAAGAAAGAAAATTAAAGGCTGACGATCATGATTGCATGAAAACTAGGATTAGTTATTCATATTTGCAAGAAATTTGTCATTAAAATAAATATTTTCCATGATTTTATTTGGAGAGATTTTCTTTTGGACAACACTAAACAGTTTGCTCAGTTATTAGTGCACAAAGGAAAACAAGCTGCTATTATGAACTGGGATTTCTAAATGGCTAAGAGGGTCAGCTCCATAACCGCAGCATGATACTCTGTTTTTGGTTCTTGCTGCATAGTATTAGAGATTTTCCCAATACTACAGTAATGCCTATATGAAGTAAAAAGGGAATGTTCAACTTGGGCAGCTACTTTAAAATTAATGAGGTTGTATATTTGTCATTTGAAAGTCTTTATAATTAGAATTACCACCACACTTTACTGAATAACTCTTCTGCAGTTGTTGCCCAGGCAATGCCTTTGTTTAACTGAAAGTGGTGGAAAATGGTTTTGTTGATGGGATCAGTAGGAAGACAGTCCATCTGGAAGTATTAAAGTACCTCCATGGTAATTAGAAACTATCTGTCTTTTAAAACAGTCATAAATTAAAATTTTGGGCCACTGTTTCTAGTGGACACCATCCATGGAGCTCTTCCTTAGTGAAATAATTTTTGTCTAATTTTTAATGAAAAAGCAGTATGCTGATAACAGCAAAACAGTTATTAATGAAAATTCCCTTAGAAAAATGTTTAAATGCAATCTGTATGAAACAACAGGACAATTGTAGCGCAGCTACTTTTCTTTGTGCTGATGTTCTCCTTAATTATGCAATAGAAATGATTATGTGGCTTGCATAAAACATCAGTGACTGATTAAGCTATGGAATGATTTTAACCTGTTTAGAGATCTAAATGCTAACACTTCAACTTTTCTAACTTGCTGCTGATTTTTTCTGCATGGGAACTCTGTTAAATTTTGTTGATTATCTGAACTATTCTTACAACGTTTTATCATTTTTAAGCTTTGCCCTTATTTCTCAACCAACATAGTTGAATTCTTGCTTCTTATAACCCAAGCAGTACCACTTCACTGAGAATTGAAATGGGTCCATTTGTGGACATATTCATTGACACCATCACAGTTTTATCATCACATCAGTGTGTGTCCTTTAACAGTTCAGTTAGGAAACTTCTATCCCCATGTGAAAATCAAAGCTTGAAGTCAGTTAGTATTTAAACTCCAGTTTCCTATCTGAGCTCAGTTTATAATGCAAATGCTGCATTTTTGTGTTTGAATGTTTTACAAACTAACCTTAATATCATTTGTATCCCCCTAAGTAGTGTTCTCTAGCTCCCCTGTTAGTGTGTGGATATATAGAACAGAATGTTGGATCCTAGATCCTCTAGAGGCCAGGAGCTGCTATTGCAGCAGAAGGAAGTCATTGCCTCATTTACCATTTTAGCGTTTGTACTACCAAGGATTAATCTGGTAATATGTGGAATATAAAGCAGTTAAAGTTTTAAAATAGTCATTAGACAATATAATTTAATGGATACATAGTTAAATATTTCAGAATTCAATTATTTTAGGTTTATATCACTGCAGTATTGCCTCCTTGAACTGCAGAGTAGGATTCTCCATTAAACTGAAGAGGATTACAGCTCTTGAAATGTCACTCTGGTGAAGGGTCCTCAAAATCATCTGAAAAGAATGAAGAATCAATACATTTATCTGCAGGAAAATTGAAGTCATAGCATCTCCAGGCTTTTAGCTGAGTAGAAAAAACAGAATTTAGAAGTAAAATATTAGAAAAAGACCGTAAGAGTCCAGTGCAGTGACAAGAGGTGAAGCCTCAGGGAAGAAATATAGATTAGGTTTAAGAGTCTGGATGGTGGAAAACGTCAGAAGCTAAATGGAAGGAAGAATCGCAATGGCGCACACAATTGTGGTGAACAAAAAGATGCCTTTAGCCCTTGTGGACTAAGGCGGTTAATGATGGATGGATTGCCTTTTCCATCTTATCTCAAGACAAAAAAAAGTCCCACAGACCTTTCTGTAATGTTCAGTACAATGCAGCATATATAATAATTGTATTTTTCATGTGTACAAAAAGTAAAGTTTTTATAATGGCATTCATAGTCATCCAATCAAATGATAAAATTTGCATCATGTTTAGCTGATGGTATTTGAATCTGCTGATTAATATAATTGAGAAATTTTGGAGACATATTGTTATGAAAAGAATGCACAGCTAGAGATGTGTGATACATTTTTCTGTACATTGATTACAAGTCATTAATGACATTTAAGAACATAATCTTCAACCTGTTCTGCATTCTCGGTCATGGCTGATCATCTATCTGAACTGTGTACTGTATCATCCCCATATTTCCTTTTAGTTTTGTTTGTACATGGGAAGTTATTGATCTGTGTTTTGACCATACTCAATGACCTGAGCTTTGATCCCCTCTGGGATAGAGAATTCCAAAGATTCATTACCCTCTCACAGAACAAGTTCTTCCTTATCTCAGTTCAAAATGGCTTGATCCTTATTCATAGTCATCCAATCATATGATAAAATTTGCATCATGTTTAGCTGATGATATTTGAATCTGCTGATGTGTATAATTGATGAGAAATAGTGGAGACATTCTGTTATGAAAAGAAAGTACAGCTAGAGATGTGTGATACACTTTTTGGTACACTGTCTTTATCCCCTTCTTCTAGACCCTAAGGTGGGGGAAAAATCCTTTCTGTATTTATCATGACTGATACTTTATGAATTTTGCAAGTCTTAAGAAGTAACTGGTGAAAGTTGTTTTTTTTATAGGTGCCTCAAACTGTAATTTCACGAGTAGAGCATAAATTAATAAATAACTGAGTGTAAGGAAGGTAGTGGAATAATCAATGTTTATTTTAATCTTCATGTACATTGAACAAATCAAATTGGCAGTTTGAAATTCTTTACACGTAAATCAGTTAGTAGGGTTTTTGTATGTT